GCCTTAAAAACATCCTTAAAATGTTTATCATCTAACAGCGTGCTGGTAAAATGCCAATAGGCACTTTTTGGTTTTACACAGTCAAAACACATCTCACATTTCACAAGACTGTGATCAGAAAAACAAACTGGAATAATTGAACACTCTTTGAAAAAATTCATTTGATGTTTAAAACCATAGAATCTATCTAACCTCGCCAAAGATAACTGATTATCATACACATGTACCCACGTATATTGTCTTTGCATATAATGAAAATTTCTCCAGATGTCAACAATATCATGGTATTTCATCAACTGAACTAACCTTTTACGTGACTGCATATGTGGCTCTATATGATTCCTATCTAGCACATGTTCAGTACAATTAAAATCTCCACCCAACAGTAAAAAATCTTCAGGATCACAATCACTTAGACTTAACACAGAGTGTTTAAAAATAACATTCTATCAACAGCAGAGTTTGGAATATAAACACAAATCAGTTCAAAAGAACAATTTTTTCTCATAAGAGGCTTTAATTTTGAGCAATCTACCTTTAATTATTTCCTCAACTTTATAATGTATAGGTATGAAACTCTTTGAAAACAAAATGGCAACACCACCACTAACTGACGTAAAATGACTCAGAACTGATAGCCAGTCAAAACCCATTGCCCACTCCACAGCATTTTCTAAACTGCTGTGAGTCTCTTGCAAAAATAAAACATTTAATCCTTTCTGTGTCATTATATCAAAAATCTGCGTTCTTTTCCTACTCTCTCTTGCACCATTAATATTTAATGAGGCAAAATGTACTGCTCCCATTAGAAGGAAAAGAGACACCCCCCAAAACAGAACAAAAAAAAGCAAACCCAGAAAAGAATAATAACCTTTAACCATTCTGACTGCTTTCACCTTGTTCTGACTGAGCATTTAATTTGGTGAGAATTTTTTTCAAAGAAAAACTTCAGGGTCAGAAAATTGGTTCTCGCTTCTAAACAATTTAACTTTCTCGATAAATTGTGGAATGTCTAGAAAAAAATCCTAATCCTCAATCTTCTCGCGTTTTGTTGTCACCTTTAAAAAATGCTTAATGTCATCTACATTATATACTTGATACTTGAAGCCGCTCCCAGGCAAACTACCCGTGAAGCTGCATTCTGACCCCTCACCCTCACTGTCCGTATCAGTCTGACTAACTTCCCGAACATCAGGTTTTTTCGTCGGCTTACTAGCATGTCGTTCCATTGACTTCCTTTTTTGCGGTGCTTTGAAAGAATAATCATCCAATTCAAGTACCGATCCACCCAAATTCTGGTCCATCAACATCTGTTCTCCAGAATCCACCACATTGTAGCCATCTTCTGATTCTACCAAAGGGTCTATTATCGGTTCACCCTCTACG